GAACTCAGAGCAGGAATTCACTCATCACCAAGGGGATGACACTAACGTCCCCTTGAGATCCACTTCCATGATTCAAACACCTCCAACCAGAACCCACCTTCAACACTGGGGATCACATTTCAGCATGAGACTTGGACAGGACAAACATTTAAGCAATCTTAATTTCCAGCTCCACTCTTGAGGTCTTAGCTTAGGTGTCTCTTCCTCCGGAAAGTCTTCCTGATTGGTCATCTCGGGCAAGGTGATTATTCTATGTGCCCACATAGCAATGTAAAGTCCCCCTGTCTTAGTCCTTACCATCCTCATTTGTACTCCCCATGAAACCAAAGGCTTCTGAAGAAAAGAGACTGTGTACCTTTGCCACAATTGTTCTCCAACACAGCATAGCTCCTGGGACAAAATAGGTACTCAATGAACAATAAATCAGTGAATTAGTATATTTCCAGATGTAGGAAACTTTATATAATAATGAGAGAAAAAATGGGAAGACATAAGAAGTAAAACATTTTTGCCATGACATAGTTACAGACGGGGTCCTTAAGAAAAGAAAAGGTATTACTTCTCTCCTGGGTTTTTCCCCTGAGGAATTCTTCAAGGTCTTGTCATTGGAAGGAAGGAACCACATTAATACAGTTTTAATCATAGTGTTTTATCGTAGTGTTCACAATCTCCTGTTTACCTATGATCACTAACAGGTTACAGGATTCTTCAACATAGAAACATAAGAAGAAAAGAGACCGCTGAATGTCATCCCCCTTCGTTTCATTGCACACGCATTCACTTCACTATGCCATGAGACCACTAAATTAAATCTGATGGTTTTTGTAGGAAGCACATGCAGGTGAAGCAAATCTGCTAAGAGAGCCTAGCAATTCCTTTCAGGGTGACATAATTTCATTTTATTAACATCAAGTGATACAATGGTATTAAAAGATTCAAGTAAGTTAAGCAGTTTTTTTTTTTTTAAACTGGTCCTGGATGAGACTTTTCTCCAGTTCCCTTTCTCTAACTACACTAAATTGCAACATTTCTCTAACTTCAAACAGTTTGATCATACCTTTCTCCATACCTTTTAATTCTTCCTCCCAAGGGGGAGGGTAGAACATGTGTTTGAAAGAGTTCTATCCCTAACACAATCCATGTGACCTCCATGTCTTCTAAAATGATTTCTGGTGGGAATGCTAGTGATTTTGAGGATCACATGTAATTTCCTGCTGAGCTGTTTAGCATGTGCAAATTACCATTTGACCTCCATAGTGACATATTTGTCATAGCAATTTTCACTTCTAGTGAAACGAGTTAAACTGCCTCAGTAAAAGTGATTTTAAGCAGTAATTCTTCATACAAAACCTTTCACATGAATCTGCCTCAATGTGTTTTAAAGATTGATACCTGGGCTTCAGATATTTCTTTTCATGTTGTTTTTAATAAGAAGCACAATATTTCCATAACTCATATTTGGAATGGTTCCTGGTTTTGGAAGCAGATTATTAAAACTGAGCATATGGAGGTCTTAAAGTAGAACCTTATGGGGGAAAAACAGTTGATCAAGTCTATTTTTCAGCACTGAAAAATTAAATGCTTGCAAAATCTTGGTAAAGCTAGGTTTATTCTTTATAACTTTTTAAAAACCCAAATTAGTGAGCTATCTGTGTCGGGTAAGAATATGACCACACAGAAAGCTCCTTTGTCATGATCATTTTTAAACAATCAGACTGTTCCTTTGCCTACATTTTTTTCCACTTACTATTGTATTGCTTAGGAGCAGTCAATGGACACTTTTGAATGAGAATCTTAAAAAAGGAAGTTGAATACTCAGTGATTGACTTTGTAGATGAAATAGAGAAAAAGGTGAGACTAATCTGAATTAAACGGAGCAATAAAATGAGAATCTGTTGAAAACACTTGTTTCTTGCATGCCAAGAATTCAGCACCATCAGAAGGTTTGCCCCTGATTGAAATTTAGCCACATATAACATTCACCTCTCTCCCCGATGGACTTGCTGTTTTCTCCAAGGAATGTAATCAGAAAATTTTGTACAATTCAAACATGCACAGTGATTGCGCTTATTTATTCACCCAAATTTCCTGAGTACCAAATGTCAGCACTCTACTATGCACTTCATAGCCAAAGACAAATAAGATACTGTTCTTTAAACAATTTTAGTAGAAGAAAAGGAAAGCATTTTAGAGATGATTGCAGTAGTATATGATACATGTACTCTTGGAAGTGTATTTAGGGTGCAACAGGAATTCTGAACTAATTAGGCGTTCATTAGATAGATATGGGCAGGGGGAAATAAGGGCATCTCCAAATTAGGAGGCATTTAAGTTTGTACTTGTTAAGAGAATTGTGCTTAGTTTGGTGTGGTTAGATTTCAGGATGAGTGTGGGGGAGTGGCAAATGATGACTCTGAAAAGACAAGCTGAACCTATTCTTATAGGCAGTAGGAAACTGTTCACAGCTTTAAGTAGAGAAGTAACACAATCAGATTTGCTCTTGGAAAGATGCCCCTGGCAGTAAGATGGAGCATGGACTGAAGGATGGTCAAATTATATTAAGAGACCAGTTAGGAGCCTATTGCGTCCAAAAATGATGAAAGCGTTGAATTCCAGCCATATACTGAAGTTAGAAAGTTGGGAAAAATTTGACAGATTTTTTTAAAGGAAGGCAGAACTTACTGAATTTAGTGAACTTCAAATGTAGGAAAAGAAGAATGAGAAATCTGAGATTGTTCTTGGGTTCTGAATGGGGTGGCTGGGTTTGTCTTGGTACTGTTAAACAGAGGATTATATGGAGGATGATCTGCTTGGGAAGAGAATAAAATGAGATGAGTTTTGGATTCATTAAAGAAATCAGTACAGACTTATGTAGACATGTTCAGTAAACTATAAAAAATTTGAGCCTTAGATCAAAGAGAGAAGCCTGGGTAATAGATTGCAAATTATCACCATGTGGAAAAGACAGTAAGATTAGATTTCTCAGTGTGTGGAGAAGATATTTTGACTTAAATAATTTAATGTTTCCATTTTTATTCATGGATGCTTGAATGAAACCATTTCATTGAATTCATTTTGTGGAGAAGAGGATTATAGCTGGTAATTTTTACTTTATTTTATTTCAATAGCTTTAGGGGTACAAGTGTTTTTGATTACATGGATGAATTGTATAGTGGTAAAGTTTGAGATTTTAGCATACTTATCACCCAAGTAGTGTCTTTGTACCCAATATGTAGTTTTTAAATTCTTCACCTTCCTCTTATCTTTCCCCCTTCAGAGTCTCCAATGTCCATTATACCATTTTGTTTGCCTCTGTTTACCCATAGATTAGTTCCCACTTATAAGTTAGAACACATGGTATTTGGTTTTCCATTTCTGAATTACTTCACTTAGAATAATGGCCTCCAGCCTCTGGCCTCCAGTTTCTGCAAAAGATATTATTTCCTGCATTTTTATGGCTCAGTAGTAGTCCCTGGTATGTATATACTACATATCCTTTATCTACTTATCAGTTGATGGGCATGTATGTTGGTTCCATATCTTTGCAACTGTGAATTGTGCTGTGATATGTGTGCAAGTGTCTTTTTGATGATTTCTTTTCCTTTGGGTAGATACCCAGTAGCTGGATTGCTGGGTTGAATGGTAGATCTACTTTTAGTCCTTTAAGAAATCTCCATACTGTTTTCCATAGGGGTTGTACCAATTTAAATGCCCAGCAGCAGTGTATAAGTGTTCCGTTTTCACCACATACATGCCAACTTCTATCACTTTTTGACTTTTTAGTAATTGTCATTTTGGCCAGGGCAAGGTGGTATCTTGTTTGCATTTCCCTGATGATTACCAATGTGAACATTCTTTCATATGCTTGTTGACTGTTTGTATATCTTCTTTTGAGAATTGTCTATTCATGTAATTTGTCATTTTTTGGTGGAATTATTTGTTCCTTTCTTGCTGATTTGTTAGAATACCTTGTAGATTTGGGATATTAGTCCTTTGTCAGATGCATACTTTAAAAATATTTTCTCCCAATCTATGAATTGTCTGTTTACTCTGATGACTTTTTTTTTCTGTACAGAAGCTTTTTATTTTAATTAGGTCTCATTTATTTATTTTTGCTTTTGCTGCATATGCTTTTGGGGTTTTATTCATAAATTCTTTGCCTAGGCCAATGTTCAGAAGGGTATTTCCAAGTTATTGGCCAGAATGTTTATGGTTTTAGGTGATAGATTTTGGTCTTTAATCCGTCTTGAGTTGATTTTTCTATATGGTAAGAGAAAGTGATCTAGTGTCTACATATAACTATCCAGTTTTCCCAATACCATTTATTGAACAGGGTGTCATTTCTTTAATTTATGGTTTTGTATGCCTTGTCAAATATCAGTTGGTCATAAGTGTTTGGGTTTACTTCTTTTTTATTGGCCTATGTTTCTACTTTTATACCAGTACTATGCTGTTTTGGTTACTATAGCCTTGTAATATAGTTTAGAATCAGGAAATGTGATGTCTCCAGATTTGTTCTTTTTGCTTAGGATTGCTTTGACTATTCAGGCTCTTTTCTGTTTCCATATGAATCTTGGGATTTTTAGAAATTATCTAAAAAATGCTATTGGTATTTGGATAGCAATTGCATTAAATTTATAGATTGCTTTGGGAAGTATGGTCATTTTGGTGATATTGATTCTTCAAGTCCATGACCATGAGATGTATTTCCACTTGTTTGTGTCATCTGTGAATTCTCTCAGCAGTGTTCTGCAGTTCTTCTTGTAGAGATCTTTCACCTCCTTGGTTAAGTGTATTCCTAGGTGTTTTATTTTTTCACAGCTATTGTAAAAAGAATTGAGTTTTTTATTTTATTCTCAGCTTAGTCATTGTTGGTGTATAGCAGTGCTACTGATTTGTGTATATTAATTTTGTAACCCAAGACTTTACTGAATTCATTTATCAAATCTAGGAACCTTTGGAGGAGTCTTTAGGGTTTTCTGGGAATATGATAATCTCACCAGCAAACAGAGATAGTGTGACTTCTTTTCCAATTTGGATGCCCTTTATTTCTTTCTCTTGTATGATTCCTGTGGCTAGGACTTCCTTGTTGGTAATTTTTAAAAAGTTAACATTTAATAATTGTTTTTGGAGGATTATTAAAAATACCCATGACATCAAAACCATACAGTCAAAGAAGCTATATCAAAAGAACATCTTAAAACACCTGTGTCAGAATATCTCGCTCCTCAGGGAATGTGTATCGAGTGAGGAGAGGATCATATCCTGAGGAATTCCAGCATTTAAGAGGCAGGCAAATGAAGGTAGGAAATCATGGAGAGAGAAGGAAAATAGCATCAGAGGCTTAGAGAAATAAACAGGAGAAAGTAGTATAATGAAAGTAAAGGGAGGAGGAGAATTTGCGAGGGAGAAGAGAGTCAGCTGACAAGGATTCTGCAATGAGGAGGCTATTGCTCATCTTAGAAAGGTCAAGAGGTGTCTATTTGGGAAGCAAGAGTCAAAAAACAATGGGTTGAGAAAACAGAAGCAATAAAGATATCCAAAAAGCTGTGGCAGAAATTTGTCATTAAAATAAGAAGAGAAATTCTGTAGTAATGTGGAAAAGAAAATAAAAATATGTGAAGCAATGCTGAGGAACAATGCAATATTTTAATTTTTAAGGGGCCAATCTGGAAAGGAAGGAAGAAAAGAGAGTGGCAGTATAGGTACATTTATAGATGTGTGTTTGAAGGTAGGAGGGGCCTGTGAAGAGACCAGAGATTCTGCATAGACAGATTTGTCCTTAATGGCTCCTAATTCTTATGTGTGGCTGGAGGTAGGCAATGTGAGGAGAGGGGTGAGGGGCCTTGGTTATGTGTGAGATCGGTGGCAGTTTCAAATAGCTACTCTGGAGGCTGGAAAGGGATTCAATTAGCAATGTGTAAAATGATTGTAGAATTAGGATGCTAAAACACCTCAGATTGGAAAGCGTAAATGTGTAATACCACCAATCTGCCTGGTTGTATGTATATTTTTTAAAGATGACAAATAGATCTTTGTGGAAGTGGAGAGGGGGTAGAAGGTTTTTAAGAAGGTTGTGAAAGGACAAAGGGGTAAGATTTGAAGGCTCTGATGAGGAAGCAGATAAGTAAAGATGAGTTTAGAAGTTTAAAGTAGTAAAAACCTAAGGATGAAAGTGGCTAATTATTCTTCATGAATCTTAACTTTTAATAGTTTATTAAATTTATTATAATTTAGAAGAACTTTAATTCTTCTATTCTTCCATTCATCGGTTACTGACTGATTTGTAATCAATTATCCTTGAGGACAGTGGTCACATGTTTTTATTTCTACTAAAAGTACCTAAAAACTTCATATGCAAACAGCAGATGATTGCTCATTATTTTTGAACAAATGCTACCCCCAAATTCCTGCTGTCTGGTTATATTCTAAAAGAAACAACAAAAATAGGATTATAAGTTATGATTATTTTACATTTTTCTTTCTTGCATAGTTGTGGAGGATGGTTTAATAGACAGTTGATAACACTGCTGGATGATTTTAGATAAAGAGCTTATGTGGGCCTCTATGATTGTCTATTAAGGCAAAGAAGAGAAAAGAGGGGAAAAGAGAAACACAGCTCAAGCTTAGTTGGAGTAATGCTTTGAATAAAAGAAAATACCATACAAGAAGTAAGGGTGAATACGATTTTCTACAGAAAAAAGAATCATTTTATTTTAAATAAAATGAATGGGCTAGAAAATTGAAGATTAAGAGAAAAGGAATAAGGGATATCAAGTCAGATATTAAAGAAAATAATCTATTTTTCAGTGCTTTTAAAGTAATCAATGAGACTAAAGTCTTCGAAATGAATTTGAACCAGAAATTCAATTCCTTTGAACAAGACAGGCTTTGCAAGTCCACATTGGATACTCAGCCTTAGACTTCCTCTAGAATTCTCTAATTATATGACTGATAAATCTGCCGAATATTACATTATCAATTTTATCATAAAAATTGTTATTTTTGGCTTGTTAAAAATAATAAACAAACAAACTATAAGTCAATAATTATTCCTTATTTTCTTTCACTTGATATGTAATAAAGTCTCTTATATTCACAAAACTAGAGGAGCATTTATATCTTATAAATATTTGATAGCATGAGAAAAAAAAAAAAACCCACAGGATTTTCTTTTATGTTGTTTCCTAACAGAATACTATGTTGCGTTGATTCTAGTTAATGCCCTATGACAGTCACCCACATTTTCTGGACTCACCAAGGCCTCCTCTCCACTAACTTGGTCTCCAACCTCCACAAAGATGCAAGCCTAACTCTGTTACATTGCTCAACACAATAAAGGAAGTGGCAGTGAAGAAACTAAACAATGCATTGACTCTAATTAAGGCTGTTTTTTAACATGTGCTATACAGGAAAAGACATATGGTATGTTTTAGGAGATTATGTCTCTGATTCAAGGATAAGCCATTTAAAAAAAAAAAAAAAGAAATGTAAATAAAAGTAGAATTTGATGTGCAGGATTTGTCATGATTTAGCTATGTACCTATAATCATGCATTTACTGTAATAGAATCCATGTAGTGTGTTTCAGAATTACATGGTCAATTAAACTCTTAAGTATCTAAAGCTTGGCCAAATTTTAATTGTAAATTTATAACTTAGAGAATTAACCAGATGTATACTTCTTATTTTCTCTTTGCTAGGCTTCTGTGAAATTAAAACAATGTTGAATGTTTTCAGCATTAATCGATACCTTAGTAATCAAACACAGACAGTGCATTCAAGCATTATAATTGCTTTTTGGGTTTAAAAAGAAGTTCCTTACAATCTAATGCATTTGAAGAATATATGAGAGCAGATTTTTCTACAAATGTGACTTTGTTTTCAATTGAACTTTGAGACTTACCATTTATAAATGTTTTGGGAGTAGTTAATTGGTTTTATTTGAAGTTTTTATAACCCAGAAGAGTACAGCTAACATTCTACATGCAATTGATGTTGAGAGGGCATCAAGATTCACCAATTTTCATTCATTCAACACCTTTACAGAACACTTACTATGTGCTGGCTCTGACATGTAAGATTTGTAGTTGTTATGAAGTAACAATACATCAAAAGAAATGTTGGTAAGCTTTGAAAAAAATGGCCTGGTACTTGGAAAAGAGGGAAAAGCAGGACTAATAATAATAAAGGAAAGGCTTACACCATATGACAAAAAAGATGAGAAACAAAATATTCGATCAGAGGACAGTATAAAGAACAAACTTTTATATAATCAAACAATTAAAAAGCATATGTTAAATGAGAAGTGAAAGAATGAATAACTCTTTTCTTCAATTTTTGTGTTCTAAAGACATGCCATTGTCAAATCTGATAGGCAAAATCTCTTATTAACTGACTTATTGGCTCTTACTAATAGACTGACTAGGGAAACAATGAGAAAGATGGGATTTGAGAGTGAGGAGGCATAAAGGGGAAAATCACATTAAGAAAACAAGAAAATATCGTTAGGAGGAAAGAAAAAGTCAAAACATTATTAGTTTTTCCATATGTTTCCTTTAAGCTAGTTTATTATTTCCATTAATGCTGTATTTTAATCAATTATCACAACAAAGATAAAGTGTTTAACCAATTATTTTTACTTATATGACAGTATACTTATTTTTTATCTCCATCTTTAATTTTTGTTATTTTTACTGGTATCAAGAAAACTAATGTGTGATATCCTGTTGTTGTCTTAAAAAATAGTTAATAATGTATTAGCCCTCATTAATCTCTACAGACTTCTCCTAAATTGAATAATGTAACAAACTTAATATGTATGTTGCTAAATGTCTCACATGTTTAAATAATTTATCTTTACCTGGTTTTGGATTTTTTAACTTTCCAATAATGACTGGTTTTATAATCCAGTTTCTAATTTCCATTTGTTATATTCAGCAAACTGATCCCTGTCTCTGGAAACACTCATAATATCTCTATCTGTCTGTCTGTCTGTCTGTCTGTCTATCTATCTGTCTGTCTGTCTTTTGGTCTATCCATCCAGCCATCTACTCATCACATCATCTATTCCCTCCCTCGCTCCCTCCCTCCCCATGAGACAAAATTTAAAAAAAAATGAACATGTTATGACAAGTAGTTTTAAAGTTTTTTATTGTGGTAAAATAGATAAAAACCATAAAATTTACGATTTTAGCAATCTTTAAGTACACAGTCCTTTAGCATTAAGCACATGCAAGTTGTTATTTCAACAATCGCCATCATCTATCTTTAGAACTTTTTCATCTTCTCCAGCTGAAATTCTATACTCATTAAACATTACTTCCCCATTCTTCCCTTTCCCCTAACCCCTGGCAACTACCATTCTGTTTTCTCTTGGTATGAATTTGACTATTCCAGATACCTCACATAAGTGGAATCATACAATATTTGTCTTTTTGTGATAGCTCATTGTACTTAGCATAGTGTGTTCAAGGTTCACTCATATTGTAGCATGTGTCAAAATTTCTTTTTAAAGGGTGGATAATATTCCATTGTGTGTATTGTGTAGACCGTATTTTGTTTATCCATTTATCCATCAATAGACACTTGAGTGCCTTCCACCTTTTGGCCATTGTGAATAATATCACTATAAGCATGAGTATACATATATCTGTTTGAGTCTTTATTTTAATTTCTTTGGGATGTGTGCCCAAAAGGGAATTGGTAAATCAGATGATAATTCTGTGTTGAAATTCTTTTCAGCAATTGCCATACTGGTTTCCATAGTGGCTACACCATTTAATATTCCCACCAGCAATGTGTAAGAATTCCAGTTTCTACATATCCTTGCCAATACTTGTTACTTTCTTTTTTTCTAATATTGGGAATCCTAATGGATATGCAGTGGTATCTTATATAGTTTTTATTTGCATTTCCCTAATAATTACCAATAATCATGAGTTTATTGGCTATTTTTTTGCATATTTACTTCGAAGAAATGTCTATTCTTCTCCTTTGCCCACTTTTATACTGGATTATTTGTTTTTCTTTTCACTAGGTTATAGGAGTTATTTATACTTTTTGGAT